ATGACAATTTTCATCCAAAAAGTTGTTAGGAGAGCTTAAAAGGATAAGTTAGAAAAAAATAAATATAAAAGTGCGACAAAGTATGTGCCCCTCATTTCAAAGCAACGTAATAGAATATTTTGATAGAAACCGTCATTAGAAAGATATATGCTACAATGAGTAAAAATTGGAAACATTTAGCCCATGTTTGAGACCCATTTTTTGGGAATAATATATTTTGAATAGTGATTTTTTGAAGAATGAGTGATTAAAAAATAAAGAAAATTTTTGGTTTTACATGTAAAATTATTTATGGGAGAATCTATGGTTGAAAATGAATTTTAAAAAAATGAATTTTGGGGGAAATGGGGTCAATTAATGTAACTAAAATTTGGTACAACTATAAAAATATGTTCCAATATAACTTCTTACTATATATCCCATCTTACCAAACAACCCATGATAAATGTTTCAAATAATTTGGACACATTTGGTGCAATTAGTGTAATTTTCAGCTGATATAAAAAAAAAAAAAAATGTCAATATCATCTAAAAGCTTAAACTCATGCAAATTAGCTTTAAAATGTACACCATTAATAATCATGGATGATGAATTCTATTTATATTGTAAGTGTTGAAATAGCAAGTACTAAAAATATCGTAAAGAATTTATGAATTTTGTAATAATTATTATCCATATATTATTTTTCTTTAAACACGATTTTCATCTCTAATATTCATATTTTCGTAGTAAAAAATTGGGGACAAAATCTTATTTTATTACAATTATATTTAAATAATTACAGACAATCTAAAATAAATCATTTCAATAATCAAGGTAGAAATACATGGAAAATAAATTAATGAATTAATTTATGAAAATAAATATATGCGTCTTAAATTATTAAAAAATGATTTATTAATTATTTGCAAGAATAATATGAAAAACTCGCAAATTTTCTAGAAAAAGAATTTATAATATATATCATTTTGTGTCTAGCTTCCATTATTAAACGTGACCTGGTATTAAAAGAAAAAAAAAAAACATAACCATATACTTTGTAACTACCGGAAATTAATAATCAACTCATAAGTCCTTTTCAGAATATAAGCAAAAAAATGTAATTATCAATAATTTATTGTGTAGTTTCGTCTCTTCCTCATAAATCGCTGTTATCAAGCCATCTTTAAAGACTTCAATTGGAATAGACTCAGTCAATCAGATATAATGCAATGAATAAACGTGGTAAATTTCGTGATCATATGAACATAATTAATTACATGAAGAGAGACAATCAATAAATGTTTGTTTTCATAATTGCAATTTGCAAATGAATAGGCCAATGTCAACGTGTTACGTTAAATAAATAATCCATAGTAAATGTTACATCATTAGAAGCTCTAAAAGTACTGGGTTCACACCCTTTTTTGACTAAGAATTTTCTCCTTCGTAGACTTTTTGAACCACGTGCGTTAAATTGTCAAGGTCTCAAGGTCAATATCCTTGAAATTAGAAAGATCTGGCACATTTCTACTGAATTTTTTATCATTGTAATGTAATGTTTTGTTAAAATTATTCACGTTCACAAAGTAAATATAGGTGTGAAAAATGGTACGAGTCAATCGTCGATTCGTGTATAAGGAGACAAGTTATAAACGCTAGTCGAATAGCAAAATCTTGTGCAAGCCGCTCATCAATCCGCACAAGTTGGCTTACTTGAATTTTCAGCCACTTTCGATCCAAAAATAAATAAATTATTGAACTGGGTTTGCGATATGACTTAACTTGGCTCGTATCACAGGATCGATCAAATTCCACTCAACCTATTTAAAACCCTTACTCAAAAACCTTTTTTAATTTCATAATAAGAGGTGCTGCACCCTTGTCTATATGGTAATTTATGGCGCTTCAAGCTGACATGGACAATTACGTCAGCATGTTAAAAAACACATGTCAATTAACATAATATTTGGAGAAGATTGAGCGTTTTGTCCGTACAACTATATATTGGATTTCTTAAAATCAAATTAATTTTGTGTATTAAATCAAAAGGAAAGAAGCAAATGAAGGGACTATATTAGTGAAACTAGGGAAGCAAATGAAGGGACTAAAAGAACTATGTTATGTACATTATCATACTCAGATTTGAATATAATCTTTGAATTTTCTCTCTTTTGCTTGTTTTTCTTCACTACTATAAGCATTGAAGACTTGGACAAAAATACCTTAAATATTGTCGCAAATAAATTCTCCAATATTAATCTTGTTTTGGGGTACGTATTCGCTCCATACATACATTAATAGATAAAATTCATGTGCCAAGCTATAATGTATATTCGAATAAAGGGGTAAATTGACAATGTAACATTTTATTATATATTATGACATGAATAATATGGAACTCATTAAAAGTTGGTCTAGTTGTAAAGTAAAAGCAAAAAATTTGAAAACTGAGAAAATTATCCAAACTCTCAGTAGCTAAACAAGGGGGGAAAATAGAAAAGAAAAAAAGAAAAAGGAAGACTTGAACAATGTCACAAATGAATTCTCCTTTGGTGTTCTTGTTTTGGTTTACATCCTTAGTTCCATATATATATATATATATATATGGTTTACATCCTTAGTTCCATATATATATATATATATGCACCAAGCTATAATCCTGTCTTTATGTTTCATTATCAGCATAAATTGAAATAAAGAAGTATTGGTCTAGATTGAAAAAATAAAAATAAAAATGTAACTTTCATATCTAAATTGATAAACATATTCTTGTTTAATTAATTGTCTATAACATACAATATATTTACCTTGAAAATAATAATATTTGAAAGACTTGAACCTTTGACTTCATAGGAACAAAAGTAGCATTTGACCACTCGTGCAGAATAGCTTATTGGCATTATTCAAAACACACAAATATACATAAATTATTTATAGTTTTAATATTTTAACGAAAAATATAGTCCTAATTTTAATTAAGATGAATCAAATAGTTAAGAAAATAACCAGAAAAAATATTCAAATAAATTAAAAACTATAATTTTGTGTCAAAGAAAAATTTATGCTTTAAAAAACTTTTTAGGATTTGTAAATACTAACACATCGGTTCGGCCACTGACTCACCGGTTCGATCGATAACCCGAGATCCATTACGGTAGGGTTGATATTTGGGTCGGGTCTAATAACTATGGTTTTGTTTAATTTTACCTTTTGCCTGTTCCCAAATTTTCACTCACATTAAAAGCTAGATCATGAGCTTCTAATTGCTTATTTTAACACTTATCAAAATGTTCAAAATCTTTTGAAATAAGCAAAGAATGAAATCCATAAGACAAAATGGAAAGGGTCAACTGGAGAGAGGAAGACGGAAATGCTTCGAGTGATCATATAATCTTTACTAATTTAAGTATTAGATTGACCATGAGGACTAACTTATCATCTTCCATATACATTTTGTTTCGAGTTTAGTGAAATTTAATTTTACTATCGTTACTAACTAAATTTGCGCAGAATGTCTAAATCACATGGTTACATAACCTTGTATAAACTTTTAAAATATGAACATTAATGCACGTTTTGGTTTTTGTATTCAAATTTACAGGTAAAATAAATGTTATAAGTCTTGTAAAATGTATATTGAATATTACATAACAATGAATTGTTGATAAGGAGAATTGTCATGCACAAATTGGCATCTTGTGATCTCAGGAAACATCGTTTACCTGTCAATCCATTTGTGATTTTCTTCCTATAATATTTGTGAATTCTACATTTATAATATTTTTTCACCTTATGATCTGCATGGCTGAAAGTAGAATGCTTCTTCGTTGCAAGTTGGCTAATTTTGTCTTTCTTCCGAATTCGTATTTGAGAAGCAAATCCACCTACAAATTAACCAAAACAATTGATTAGTGTAAGGATTTGCAAAGTAAATTGAAGAAAATCAAGACCAAAATCTGAAAATAAAAGGAATGGTTTTCCCCTTTATGATTCGGCTCAGAAACTTGATCCACACCACAAAGGTATCTCCAATTTGAAGGCCATTATCAATCACACAGACAGATTCACAAAGAAAAGGCAAGAGAAGATTGGTTTGCACTAAGCAGGGAAGTTTTTCTTCCTCTTGGTTTTGGTTCTCGTTTTTGGTGTGTATAATGGAAGGGAAGAGTCTCCTATTTATAGGCTTATAGGAGTGAATGAATTTCACAGGAGTCTTCAAGATTAGATTGAATAAAAACTGCAAGATTATATCCAAACTGAAAGATAGAGGTCATCCAACAAAAATGAGATAAAATTGGTTTGATAAAGATAACGATAATATTTATCCATCTTTCATGTGAATTTCAAATTCCCTCCAAGTTGAGTATTGGGCATCTAACCCAATGGGCTGATTACCTCTAAATACCCAACATAATTGGGCTACTTCAATTGTGGTGTGGATTTAATTCTTCAATCCTGGGCTTATAGCCTATGAAGTTAAAACGGGCCTCGATTTTTCATCATAGCCTAGGGGATTTGGGCATCACTTACCAATCATGCCCAACAATCTCCACCTTGATGCTAAATCATCCTGCAAGTCAGATAAGATAACAAATAGCTTAAGGGAAGAGACTTACAAGTTTGTGCCAATATTTAGAAGATCAAGGCAGCTTC